AGAAGATTTCAAAATTTTCCCAAAAAAAAAAAACACAAAAAAGGGGACCCCTCCCCTCTTTTTTTCTCGCCCCTTTTTTTTTTTTTTTTTTTTTTTTCTTTTCTAATCCAGACAGGACAGACATTGGTCTGATCCAACCCTAACGATCCCTAAACCCCGCCACTTTTTCAACTCAATTGCCTACTGCAATTATTTGGGGGCAGGGATCCACTTTTGTAGTTTTCCTTGTCACGGGTCCCCATGTCTGAAAAAATATTTTTTTTAAAAGATAATTTTGTTTTCTCAAAATTTCATCACTACAAACCTGTGGGAAGCAAGAATGATTGGTCTGATCCAACCCTAACGATCCCTAAACCCCGCCACTTTTTCAACTCAATTGCCTACTGCAATTATTTGGGGGCAGGGATCCACTTTTGTAGTTTTCCTTGTCACGGGTCCCCATGTCTGAAAAAATATTTTTTTTAAAAGATAATTTTGTTTTCTCAAAATTTCATCACTACAAACCTGTGGGAAGCAAGAATGATGTTTTTCTGCAAAAGAAAAAAAAAAAAAACTTTGAGAAGGAAACCTGTTCCTGTGGTTCCTATTTCTTCAATTTACCTTGGAACAGAAAGTCTCCTTGCATCTGATTTTGTCCCAGTGAGGAGGAAACACAAAAACAGAAACTGGGGAGGAGGGATGATACATAGAAAAATCAACTAAACAACAGATAGCCCCTTCCTGACTTCAGTCTCTTAGACCTGCTTGGAATGATTTATCCTCTATGCCTTCAGATTGCTTTGAGAGTCACAAGCCTTGGAGAAGGAGTCCTCTGAAACCAAACAGAAGCTGTATCATTTTACTTGGTTTTCCACCACGGAAATTCCAAGAGGTGGTACATAAATGTTTTACATTGAAGTGGCCCCAAATAAGGTCTTTGAGGAGCAAGATCTTTACGTTCACAAATGCTTCTGAGGCTATACATTGGCAAATTCAAAACTAGTGTGGTTGTTCTTGATAAAGCTAATTCTGTTCTTCCCGTTCCTGTGCATGGGTATATGTGTGCACACCTGTATCTTTTAACCGTAAACACTGGAAATAAATGCCCCCACTTGGTTGTTGAAAAGTAACTGTAGTCTCACAGAATAGTCTCATAAAAGCAAGCTTAAAAGGAACACTGAATTCCAATTTTATTTTTAGACATTTGTCTTGAAAAGAGATAACTCACTGGTAAACTGTAATAATCTGAAGGATTTTTCTTTTTGGCTAGTGCTCATAATTATTTTTATCTTTTTTATATTAAAGGGTATAATTTTAGCAATAAAATATAGAAAAACTTTCCTAGAATCTACTAAATATATTGTCTTAGAAAGAACTGTGTCATTTCACATGGACTGAGCTGAAATCTGTCTGCTTTTCACTCATTCAGTCCCCCGAGGACACACAGAACCATTTACATGTTCTTCATGTGAAAGACAAGTAGGTTCAGGGCAGCTATTCCTGTCCTCGCAGTCAAATAGTTTTGTGACACAGCTTTGTAATCTTTCAGCAGTATGGCTTTGGCTATATTTCTTTACCTCACTGAGTCGAACTTCATCATTCACTCACATGTTCTCAACTGAGACTGATATTTTGTTTGCATTGCTCTTTCTTATGTTTTGCAGAGGATAATTACCATCCATCTATTATTATTTCAATGCAGTATTAATTTGTATCAGTGTGCGCATCTCTGTACATCCTGTCCATTCAATATATAATTTGAGAAAAATTCAGACAAAATTTATCTTTCAAATATATGTACTAAATAGCCTTGAGGAGCCTAGAGAAGATAAATGAAGAAACAATAATTTCATGCCACTCAATAGACTGTGCAGGGTCCTCACACTCCAACTTCTTTTATTTCTTAGTATCTTTATCTTCATAATTGCACAATTCTACCCAGAGTGATCTAAAAACTACTGTGAAAGCTCAATTCCCCATGAAAAGAATTAGACTGTCCATGAATGACTCAGTAAACTAAATTCTTAATTATTTTATATAGCCTTGATTTTAACCATGTGAACTTTAATTTCCTTGAGCCTCTGTGTTCAGTATCTATGGGAATGTCTGCTTTTTTGCTAAGCCTTGGTTTTCTATTTGAAGCAAGAGAAATTTATTATCTACTGGTCTAGATTTAATGCTGACATCAAGCTCACATCATAAAGCTTTTTTCCCCATAATATTGTTTGCTCCAAAGCAATGAATTTACCACATGGATGGATCCCAGCAAAGTACTAAGAATCACTCCTCTTCCTTGAATTTAAAAATCTCTTTGGCTTTAGTTATTCATGTAATTGTCATCATTCTGTACTTATTTTAACAGCTTAATCCTGATTTTTTTCTGAGAGGCTGTTAATGGAACACATGATTAACAGCTATTAATGAGAAAGAGAAACAAATACTATGCATGGACTAATTACAGTAGTTAAAAGCTCAGAAAAAGGAGGCCATTCAAGGTTTCACTGGAAGAGCATGTTACGTGTTTTATGGATATGTTCTGCTATCTAGCATTGAAATGTGTCGAGCTAGCATGATGGCAAATGCATTTTTATACAATATTATTTTAGACCACTGGAATGTTGCATAATACTTCAATAAAATGGAATGATTCTTCAGTTCACAGAATAAAACCCCAAAAAGTAAAAAGACAAACCCCCCAAATCAGCAATTTCCATGTAATAAATTTGAGAGAAAACCTGAGATATAACCAGTAAAAGACCTGAACTTTAAATAAAAAGCAGCCCCAAAACTCTAGATTCCACCATCCATTTTCTCTCGATTTAAATTATTCATGCTTCCTAATAATTGACTCCTGTGTGAAATAAAAAGGTGAGAGCTACATTAGATACAAAGAGGTGTTCCAAGGCTATGTGTATTTAAAGGAGATTTTCCTTTGTCTTTGAGCTTATTGTCAAGAGAATTATTAAAGGTGTTAAGAGATATTTAATGGAACAAATCTGACTTTAAGGCTCTGATTCTTTTAAGAGCCTGAAGGTTGTAATAATGGGCCCAACTCTTATCAGCTTTTAAAATAATTATTCTGAATAACTAGCTTAAGTGATTAATTCATAGATCTAGATGCGTTTCTTAAAGTCTGGAACTTTATTTATTTGGGTCTTAATCTTTTTCCAGTTGCAGACATTTCTCATCAGCTTATTACAGTCTTTTATCACTTTATACTTGAACGGTTGTTAGGATTTTTTTAAGTTTAAGAGTCTATGCACTCAAAAATTATTCAGCGCTAAAACCTCTATCATTTATTTATCGTCTATCTATCTATCTATCATCTATCTATCTATCTATCTATCTATCT